ATTTGAACCAGCCCCTATATATATATATATATATATATATATATATATATATATATATAAGAGTCCTTGAGTTAAATGACCATTTCACTCTTTCAAATTTGTTCTTCTAACCATTTTCTCCCACAATATTGCAGATTTAGCTAAAGACCGAAAATTCAACACATATATGTAATTGCGACAGCCAGGTCCGCATTGCGACCAAAAATTTAACTCAAAAATCTACATTAAATTTTTTCCATTACATATAATATGTATACAAATAAAAATGATTAACTTTACATATCTTAATTAATTAGTATTATTTATTTTCCCATATATTGAATAATAATTTAAATAACAAATAATATAAAAATAACTAACATGAATAATAATAATTAATATTAATGTATAATTAAAATTAATTAATAATTTTCAACTAATTTTAATTATCATTAATTGATACTAAAAAGGATACTCGTGAAATGTATCGAGACATATCTCGATTCCAATGTTCATTTTATTCTTTATTTATGTCGATATAATACGGTTTTATGTGGTTTTGAGAAAACGATAATGTTTTTATTTTTAAATAAAATCTCATAAAAAATTGAAAAAAATATATCGATATTTGTATCAAATTAACTATTTAAAAGTTCTTGTTATGTATATTTTTTTAATTCAAATTTTTTTATAAATTAATTTAATGTGACGAAATAACTTAATTTTGCTTTAATAATATAATATTTGATAAAGATAACAATTAAGTATTATGTTATAAGTCAATGATTATCCTAATTATATTTTAGATTTTTTATATTTAAAATGAGATGCTTATCCTGTATTTGATTGTATTTATCTGCAGTTAATTACACAAATTTAAACATGAAGCTTTAATAAGTTGTACTTATGCATAATTACTTGTAATCTTAAATTTTAAGTAATATGCATCAATATACAGTACTTTATGCATAACAAAAATACGTAGGCATTCGTATCAAATTGACTATTTAAAATTCCTCATTTTTTTGTAATTTCTTAATTCAAGATTTTTATTATCATTTAATTTTGGTACAATAACGAAGTAATTTATATTTGGTTTAATAACATAATCTATACTATATTATAAAGTATTTGACAAAAACTTTTAAAAACAATTTTTTATGCACGAAGTACTGTTTATTGATGCAAATTACTTAAAATTTAAGATTATAAGTAAATTGTGCATAAGTACAACATATTAAAGCTCCATACTTGAATTCGTCTAACTAACTGCATATAAACATAATCAAATATTGGATAAACATCTCATTTTAAAAAAAAAATCTAAAATATAATTAGAATAATCGTTGATAACTAACAGAATACTTAGTTATTATTTTTTTTAAACGATTTTTTATGCACGAAATACTGTTTATTAATGCATATTATTTAAAATTGAAGATTACAAGTAGATTGTGTATAAGTACAACTTATTAAAGCTCCATACTTGAATTCGTCTAACTAACTGCAGATAAATATAATCAAATATTGGATAAACATATCATTTTAAATATAAAAAAACTAAAATATAATTGGGATAATCATTGAGAACTAATAGAATACTTGGTTATTATTTTTTAAAAATGATTTTTTATGCACGAAGTACTGTTTATTGATGAATATTACTTAAAATTTAATATTAATTCATAACTTATTAAAGCTACTTAAATGACTTTATAAAAAATTTAAAATATAATTACGATAATCATTGATAACTGACAAAATATTTTATTATTATTTTTATAAAAATATGATAAAATAATAACTAAATATTTTATTAATTATCAATGATTACCTTAATTATAATTTATAACCATTATATTGTGACACGGTGCAACACTAACTAAATATGAATGTAAATTATTTAATGAAATTTGTGTAATGCGTACGGTTGAGGAGGAAACGTTTAGGAGATTCTAGAGGCTTCTTTAGCGTCCGACATCCTCGTAAAGAAAACGATCTGGACCGTCCATTTTGACCTCCTCAAATTGAACACCTTGCCCTTCACTCTCTTTCTCAAGAGACTTCTCGGGCCCGTGTCTTCCCAAGTACGCTTCAACAATTTCTTATGCGTTTGTATGCGATCGATTGATTGGACGACTCTGAATTTTGATTTCAATTTCTTTCTGTATTAGATTTTGATTGAATTGTGAAGATCGCAGAAGAGCAGGATGTTTGGAAGAGCCCCTAAGAAGAGCGATAATACCAAGTACTATGAGATCCTAGGGGTTCCGAATACCGCTTCCCAAGATGATCTCAAAAAGGCTTATCGGAAAGCCGCCATTAAGAATCACCCTGACAAAGGTGGAGATCCTGAGAAGGTGCTACTGCCTAACCCTAACTTTTCAATAATTTCTGTTTTTTTTACCTTCGTATAAGTTGATTCAATCGCGTGATTAATTTGTGTTGATTACTTTGTTTGTTGTTTTTCGTACTACATTACGGTAATTAAACGTTATTTGTTGTTGCTGTTGGTGGTTTGATAAGGAAAAATTATAAATTTTACCTGACGATGGCTAATTGGATCGAATTGGTATACGAATAAAGTTGATTGCTGGAATTCTTTTGATTGTTGAAAAGTTCTAACTATGGATTTATCTGATGACGTTGAGTTGTTGTTGCTAGTCGAAGGAATAATCTAGTTATTACATATGGATGAATTATTGTGGGGGAACAACCAATTGGTGATGTTTGATAGTTAACAAGTTCATAATTTGGTGTTCGATTTTGCAACCCTGAATTCTTATGAGGTAGCAGAGGTATATCTTTATTTGGACGAAGTATTAGGTTTTCAAGCCAAATGAACGTTATGGATGAACGCAATAGTAAAGCTGGCTTGGAATTTTGATTTAATATGGGACAATTTCAAAAGGGAAATTGTTACAACTTACCTGCACAGTTCTCCTACCGTCAATCATGGTTCTTTATTGAATTCTTAAAAGTTCTTGCTAATATCATGAAAATTGTAGTTTGTCCGAAGACTAGTAACAAAAATTTCACCTCCAAAGTCAATTCTATTCCTGCAATTCTCTTGGTATCTTGCCAAGTAGAGATTTGATCACCTTTTATTTCCATTCATGTATAATCAGAATATCAGATACTTTTGTGTTTAGGATCGTTGTTTTTACACATAATTGCTGTTTCCGTTTTAGTTTAAAGAGCTTGCCCAAGCATATGAGGTTCTGAGTGACCCAGAGAAGCGTCAGATATATGATGAATATGGAGAGGATGCTTTGAAGGAAGGGATGGGTGGTGGAGGGGGTGGACATGATCCGTTTGACATCTTCCAGTCATTTTTTGGGGGTAGTCCTTTCGGTGGTAAGCACTCTTGATTCTGTTGGCTAGAAATAAGCAACAATGCCATTTTTGGGCTTGTACTTATTTCTTTTGATTTGAAATCTTGTGTGAGCAGGTGGTGGTGGTAGCAGCAGCAGCAGGGGACGAAGACAGAGAAGGGGAGAAGACGTTATCCACCCTCTCAAAGTTTCTTTGGAGGATCTTTACAATGGAACGTCCAAGAAACTCTCTCTTTCACGTAATATAATCTGCTCCAAGTGCACGGGGTGAGTGCTCGCTGTTTTGTGGACCTTTTTTGGTTTATGTTTCCTTTATCGGCTGACTTGAGGTCCCGTTTTGCAGCAAAGGGTCAAAGTCGGGTGCTTCAATGAAATGTTCAGGCTGTCAAGGTTCAGGCATGAAAGTTTCTATCAGACATCTTGGCCCTTCTATGATCCAGCAAATGCAACAACCTTGTAATGAGTGCAAGGGTACCGGAGAAACAATTGATGACAAGGATCGCTGCCCACAGTGCAAGGGTGAAAAGGTGGTGCCGGAGAAGAAAGTTCTTGAAGTCCATGTTGAGAAGGGCATGCAGAACGGACAAAAGATTACATTCCCTGGAGAGGCTGATGAAGCTGTAAGATGCCAATAACAACTATACCTTTCTCTCCTGTGGACTTGTTGATCCAAAAGTGGCAAATACCATTTCTTTTCCCTTAAAAGTTTAGTAATGTTCAAATGTAATTATAGTGATTCTGTCTCACATTTGCAGCCTGACACTGTTACTGGTGATATTGTGTTTGTCTTGCAACAAAAAGAGCATCCCAAGTTTAAGCGGAAGGGTGATGATATATTTTATGAACACACCTTGAATCTGACAGAAGCACTTTGTGGCTTCCAGTTCATCTTGACCCATCTAGATAACAGACAACTTTTGATCAAGTCTCTACCTGGGGATGTTGTTAAACCTGGTAAATTTCTTCCTTCCATCCCTTTTCTTGTTTAAAATATGATTCATGCTAGAAAGACGTCCAACCTACATAATTGTATGCCATTTTTGTTATTTGAATTGAGTTTCTTGAGTACACTTGTTTGCATTGAACAATCATGGATTATATGAACTGGGCTTGTTAATGATTCTTGATATGGTGGTGGTGGAATCGCGATGATGTTGTCATTGCATCCATGGTCTGATGGTAAAATATGTCTTGTTTCTACAGATCAATTCAAGGCAATAAATGATGAAGGAATGCCAATGTACCAAAGGCCATTCATGAAGGGGAAGCTGTACATACACTTTAGTGTGGATTTCCCGGAATCCATAAGCCCAGAGCAACGCAAGGTTCTCGAGACGGTTCTTCCAGCAAGGCCTTCGGTGCAGATTTCGGATATGGAAGTGGATGAATGTGAGGAGACAACTCTGCATGATGTCAACATTGAAGAAGAGATGAGAAGGAAGCAGCAACAAGCAGCTCAAGAAGCTTATGATGAAGAAGATGACGATGACATGCATGGTGGAGCACAGAAGGTACAATGTGCACAACAATGATGCGAGTGAAGGTATGGTGCTACTTGTAGGTCTTGGCAACGCAGTTTTGCTTCGTGAGATTAGAAACATAAAAAATGTATGCAACTTTTATTCGATTTGATTGTCGGCGGTTGAAATAGGAAAAACCTTTTTGAGTCAAGGGCTTGTTTTGTGGTTGATGAAATATAGTGGTAGTGGTTTCCCAAATGGTAATGGGATTGAAGATGCTAGTAGTAAAGGCTGGAACCAGTACAACATTGTGGTAGTAAGCCTAAGGTCTTCTGTTATATTTAAGTTGATATTTGTGAACAGGTGAAAGTTTGGCACAAAACAAAGTATGAAATTTTCAATCCAAAATCGTTTTATGTATGACCAAAAGCCAAATGCTGCAGCAACACACACACACACACATATATTAAAAGACAGAAAAACTAACAACGACATTTGAATGGGTTGATAAAATGCCCTAAACAAATATAAATTGGGCCATGTTAAAAAATCTGATATTTGATATGCCAAGGAACGATCTTGATCGAAATTTAGCTATTTGGATAATCGGGATTTCTTACATCTATGTCTACTACTAGGAGCAATAAACGGCAATGAAGCACATGACTGTGTTTGTCGAGAACCACTACCCACCACAACCACATAAGGCAAAATGGAAATCATCGATCTGGATTAATGGATGAACCCAAAATCAAAAATCGAGGATCGAGCAACAAGCTCATCAGATTTGCACAAGATTTTTGGATCGTTGATTCTGGGTTTGGCACCGATTCTTGATTCATATTTGCACAAGATTTCTTCTTGTTTGAAGATTTTGAACTTCCATTGAACAAGAATAGAACCAACAGTTTTGAACGAGAATTTGTTTGGGTTTCTACTTTCGGTTTTTGGTTTCTTCACGGATAGATCTAAGCATATTCAAAGATCAGTTTGGTTTGGGTTTGTTACATGATCGATCTTGGACATCTTCATGATTTCAAGATCTTTTTTCCTATTCAGATTATTTGATTTGAATTAGGTTTTTGATTCAGATGAGTTTTATGTAACAATTTCTTTAATAAAACTGTATATTTGTAAAGTTGATGTTCGTGAAGTGAGAAACGTAAGAAGAGATTTGAACTCTTAATCACCTTTTAATTTTAAACTCATCTATAAATCATGCTTGATACGGAGATTGATTATTGACATCTTGATGCATCTCATCCCAATGTGCATTTAAAATTAGACATCCTTTCTTATGCTTCTCACCTTAATTCTCCTTACCAGAACCCAACCTTATATATATTATATTAAGTAACATATATTATAGAAATATACACACGTAAAAGGTGATATATATTACTCAAAAATAAATTTGATATAACATTATTCATTTACATTAAATTTTATACCAACCGGATAAAATAAAAATTAATATACCTGGAGTCTTACATTTTACTTTAAGATTACAATTTTTTTATTATCTCATCAAATTTCATACCAATTTCTGTTAGAAATTGGGGACCGGTGATGATTCGTGGACTTGGTAATCTCGTTGGATCGTGAAAGTTCACTTACCAAATACTACAATTCGTCCCTTAATGACTTGGGTATCACGAATTTCGTATCGGGATAACTCAAGAGAAACTCTCCTCTCAAAGGCTGTAAGATCGAGTCCTTGTATATACCTAGATTCTCCGTTACATATTTATATGAGAAATCGAGACGGTTAAAGCATAATTGAATGACAATTTTAACCTTTAACAGACAACGTTTGGAGCAGTTATATATGTATTAGAATCAGAAGCAACGTCATGAACTCTGGTTCCTCAGTCCAAAGCTCTGACTACTCTATCTCTGAAATTCGGCGTAACTCTTTTGGCCCCCGTCTGATGACGATCTAAGGTAATAAAGACAATATTTCTGATTGATGATACTAAGGTTTTTGAGATTGTTTATAAAACAACTTATTGACTTATTTCAGTGTCACATTGGTAATGAACATTTTTTGATATTTGGATAAACAGTTTATACCGATGGTAAACCGGTAATAAGGAGTTCAAAAAGCATTTGTTGACAAGGACTTTAAAAGTATTAGTTGTTTCAAGCGATCTCAAACCGATTGATTGTGTTAATTATGTGTACTTCTCTGCCATAAGAAGGTGCGAACCATATCTCGCATCTTTACTTTAGGGTAGAGGCCGCCAATTTCTCAAGGATTCACCATTAACTCTGCCCTCTTTATGTCTCTGAGTTGCTTTCGTCTTCACGGCTTTCCCACATTTCGCTGCATTTCTCATCGTCTTATTACTCTCTCTCACTTCCATTTCAGGTTTTCAACTCTTTTTCCTTACACCAATCTCCTCTTTTGCTTATATGATTCAATGCATATGCGTAATTTCGTTTCCATTTTCAAGGGTTCGGGGTTTTAGTCGAACAAGTATGAATCAAGCTGAAATCGGAGCGATGGTTAATGGGTCCAAATGTTGTTCTTCCAAGGTCGTCATCAATGATCCCAAGTTGCTTCACCATAAAAAAACCTCTATTCGCCTCGCCGGTCCCTCCAAATTCCAGGTTTTTTTTATCCTTCTTTTGATGAGCATCTTCTAGGATTTATGATTTCGATCCTATTGTATCGCAATTCGTTATCTTAAATTGTGGGAGATAAAAGGGAACTGCCATTTACTTGTATATTGTATTGTAATCATTTCATCGTTCAAAATTGTAGGTTATTGCAGATTTTGATAATACATTGACAAAATTTTGGGTTGATGGATGTCGAGGACAGTGTATGTTTGTGATTTCTTTAAAATTTTCAATGTTTTTAATGGTTATTATGTGTTTTCAATGCGATTAAACTATTGTGTAATTACACATGTAGCCAGTCACGGCCTCCTGCAACAAGAGAATCCTGAATACAACGCCAAGAGAGATGAATTATTCAACTACTATCATCCTATAGAATATGACCCACAAATTCCAATTGATGAAAAAACTAAGCTTATGGAAGAGTGGTATGTTGACCATTTACAAGTTCAACTTCTTTGTTATTTTAAGCATTCAATTTCTGCAATTCTACTTTGTTTTAAATAGCCAAGACTGTACAAGCATCTGGATTTACCGAAGAACTTTGAAATATAATTTTTTTGAGCTTTTGAAAATGGGGATGCATTCAAAACCCTTTGAAGAATACCAATTGGGTAATGTTTTGAGGACGAGAGAAGATTTTGTAGAAGTGATCAAAAGGGTCATTGGCCTAGTGGTACCTTGTAGATCCCAACCTCCTTGGAGGTCAACGGTTCAACCAAAGAGGAGTGTGTGTGTGTGTGTGTGTGAGAGAGAGAGAGAGAGAGAGTATTTGCCATATGTAATTATAGATGTGACTTGAGGTAAAGAACATATCTATTGTTCTTTAAAGCATCCGGTAAGAACATATCTATATCTACATTTGCATTTCTAAGTACTTCAAAAGAATTGTAATACTTAGTAAAGCATCTTTTTTAACTAATGTAGGTGGGGTAAGAGCCACGGTCTCCTTATTGAGGGAGGTCTTACATATGATGCAATAAGAAGCTCTGTAGCTGGTGCTGTGATTGCTTTCAGAGAAGGCGTGGTTGAGCTTTTTGAGTTTTTAGAGGCAAGTTCTTTCTCATTTTTAGCATTATTTGACGGGTTTGTTTGGTATTAAAGTAATCTCATCGAGTGGATCAGGAATTTCCCTTATTGTTTCATGTTCTTTTCCCTTTAAACCATCAGGAGAGAGATATCCCGGTTCTTATATTTTCAGCAGGTCTAGCAGATATCATCGAGGAGGTAAGTTAAAACCAGGGCCAGTTCATGTTCATGTATGCCAATTAGCAAAGCTTATCCTGTTATGGAGCTACAACTTCAATTTACTAATACAATGTCTCCTCTCAACTTCATCAGGTTCTTCGTCAGAAACTCCATAGAACTTTCAAAAATGTTAAGATCGTATCAAACCGGATGAAATTTGACCAAAATGGTAACCTAGTATCTTTTACAGGTATACTCCTGATCCCAGTAACGGAAATTCTATCAATTTGTATCTCTTATGTGAAAAAGATAGCTGTTAAGATGCATGGTGCACCATGGCTCATTGCCACACATGCTAAGTGCACACAATATGAATATGTTTTAATGATTTCATGTATCTTTTTAACGTCTAAAGTTTAGACCTTAAAAAGGTTAAAACGTATTAAGCAATAATGCACCAGATGGTTGTAGAGATGTTTGTGGCAAATTTAAGTAGCAACATTTCAATATATGATAATTATGGTATTTTTCATGTTTAATCTGTTCATTTTTTGATTATTTGCTTCAGTTCTTTGTTGGATGTGATATTTGATTAGTTTTCTTTCTTATATTTGAAATTGTGACATGTTGCTTGAACCAGGGAAGTTGATTCATAGCTTAAATAAGAATGAACATGCTCTTGATATGGCTGCATCCTTGCATGATCACTTGGGTGAAGTTGATGACCAAATAATCGACAGTGCCTCTGTGAAAAAAAGAACCAATGTGCTACTTCTTGGTGATCACATGGGAGACCTGAGAATGTCCGATGGTCTGAATTATGAAACCCGCATTTCTGTGGGATTTTTGTAAGTTATAAATGTCATTACGATTTTCACATCTGCACACCTCACTTGGATCATATGTCCGTGTTATCCCTTGTCCTCCTTTACAATATTTTATTTTTGATTTGTTTTCTTTCCTGTTTCATTCTTGGCTTATCCAACTATTTTGGTTAAAGGGCTCGTTGTTTACAGTTTTCATAATCTGATGGTAGTACCACCAGACCATCAAAATTAGTTTAATTATTTGAAGATGTCGTAGAATTCTTCATACATTACAAAAAGAAACTAGAGACCAATTCTCGAGCAATTCGATAACATTTTGCAAGATAAGTGCATGCTTTGTCAAAATTAAAGCCATTAAATCAAAACTAACTGTAGACATGATATTAAAATGAGTCTTTGTATCACCAAAACTGATTGATATTATTCGCATTTTGCAGGAATCACAACATTGAGAACTCTCTTGATAGCTACCGGGAAGGCTTTGACATTGTGTATCTAGTGAGTGTGTTAATACATTACCCAACTACCAAAATGATTCTTAACTACCATCTTAGGGTGTCTCAGCGAATATTGCTACGTTTCTTTCTCAAAAGATTTCAAGTTAAATTTACATGTTTTATTCATCGTTTCAAAAAGATTGATGGTTTTGATGAAAATATTGGTTTGTTTTGTGCAGGATGATGCACCGATGTCAGGGGTGGTGAAGCTTGTCTCGGAGCTCTTTTCTCCTGCAACTGATTAAACTCATGGAAGTAGAGATGTGATTGGATGAGGCATGGTGTCGATTTTTCGGGGGTTTTGATTATTTTCTCATTCTTTCTTTTGACCTTTTGCATCTATAATAAATGTTTCTAGGTAGCAATCCTTTGGGGCCCCTGATGGGTTTTAGAGTGATAGTAAACTGCTAGTGTTGATTTATGAAGCACATTTAAGGTTAATTGATATTAGGGACCCCATTATATATTTTTGAGAGAAGGAATACCTTCCAACCATTGTAAATAGACAGTTTAATACTTCTATGAAATGATATTATTTCTAGACTTCTGGGTTTTGATGGTAATTTTCTCTTTGCTAATTCATTCATATCAACATTTTTACATACTTTTTACATTTTTAATATATGATTTTATCTGATTCTGACATAAAAATGACGCATATAGCATTTGTTCTTTATCTTATACGATTTTGAGATGGTACAAGATGTTTGTAAGAAGCTTCTCTAAGACTATATTTGTAGAAATAGTTGATAAGTTAGTTGTTAGTTGAAAACTAACTGTTAGGTGAATAATTAAACTGAAAAAATAGTCATGTTTAATAAAAGAGTTAACAAGTTAGATGATAATATAAAATGACAAAATGTTAAGAATTTTCAATTATTAATGTAAAATATGAGGGGTATGATTAAGAAAAAGTTTAACTTGATAAAATGTTATTGTCATAGCCCAAACTGTACCACCATAGCCCAAATCTTCATTCTAGGTTAAACTGGTTTCATTCCCAATTTCATTCATTTGCCTAACCACAAACTCCTTAGGGGACGTTCGGTTTACATAATGAAATTTAATGGAATTAAAATTCATCGAAGGAATTCGATCATAAGTTTGGTTGGTGGAATTGAAATGGAATCTCCATCTTTAGTTGGAGGGGAGGGGTGGCATCTGTGACGACGACAATAGTGGTCACATGGTGACATGGTGTTGGTCGTAGGTCGTGCCCCTCACCACCCACCTGCGCCACCCACCACACATAATGTGGTGGTTGTGACTTGTGACAAAGACATAGTGACATGGTGGTCAGGTGGCAAGGTTGGGGAATCAAGCGAGGTGGTTGTGGGTGTGGATGGCAGCTATGATGAGGACAATAGTTGTATGGTGATCAGTGGTGAGTTAGGGTGGGTGTTGGTGGTTGTGACGACCACAATAGTGATCTGATGGTGGAGAGATTAGGGGTGAGGCAAGACAATAGTAGCATGACGGTGGTTGGGATAGAGGGTGGGCAGTGTTGGTTAAATTGGATACAAAAAGACGGTATACAATTACTTCATTTATGCTAAGGAATAATGAATTTATTATTTGTGGAATTCAACAGGATTTTTGACAGAAAAAAAGCTACATAATTTCTCATGGCTATCGGATTCCACAAACATCGGACATCACATAAAACTGCAGTTTAATTACCAACGGATTACAACATTCGATATGTTATCGAATTACTCCTCCCTCAAATGATGTTCTAAGTCACTAGGGGATTAGGTTTACTCGGAAGTAATCGAACAAAATAAACCCCTTCAAGTGAAACAAAAAGGCGACAACAATGAGGAATTCATACCCTTTGCTTATGGTGTTTGTTTTCTACATAAAGAGTACACAGACATCATCTATTTCTACTACACCAAACATATGCCTCTAAAACACTTCACACAACTCCAAAACTGTGATCTAATAACATTCTAACTACAAATACTCAACACTAACGACAAAAGTAAACCGGAAAAAAAGAACATCTGAGACATTCATACCTGGCCAGGAAAAATCGACACTTCCAAACATACGACACATTTCACATGTTTTTATTGAACTCTCTCGTTCTCACTTCCGCCTGTTCTTGTTTTTAACTCTCACTATCCTTCTCCCAGATTTATCACCTCCAGAGCCTAACGAGAAACTTCCTCCTCCAGCATTAAACTCTACACTAGATGACTGGAAAGGATTCTGAGTCGGTGCTTGGTTTGGCTGGCCACCAAATTGGAAAGGAAGTCCTGCTGCTGGGTTCGGGGTTGGGGTGGCAGAACCAAACATGAAACCGGGTGCAGCTGCAGGGGCTTGACCAAATTGAGATACAGGACTAGGAGTTTGCATAGAATCCTCGGCCATACTGTCTTCCATACTCATCTGATCGTTATTGTTTGGTGAGGTGGTGGTGGCTCCAAAAACAGGAGTCGAGTTCCCGAAAACAGATTGACCTTGTGAGGGGGCATTAAAAGAGGAGTTGGTGGCACCAGTTGTAGTGAATGAAAACATCGAAGACCCTGTTGAAGCACCTGTATTCGATGAACCAAACACGGTCGGCGAAGTGCTAGCAGAAGGCATGGGTGTGGAAGATGTCCCAAACGGGAACACTGAAGATTGAGAACTAAATGTAGACCCAAATCCAGATGATTTGGCGGGCTGCCAAGCAGCTGTGGAAGCTGCAGAACCAAATATGCTAGTAGTAGACCCACTCGTGGAACTACCGGATTTAGTCCCTGAAGAGGCAGCAACAAAACTAATACCAAAACTAGGCGTCGAATTGAAAGCAGGAGCTGAGGAACCGAAAAAGGAACTTCCTGAAGTAGTAGAGGATGGAATGCCAGTAGAACCAGATGCTATGGAAGGGGTGGAAGAGCCAAACAGGAAGGGCACGGCCTGTGTAACAGCAGTAGATGTCTGCGTGTTTGCCTGAGATCCACTCGAGACATTAAAGAAAGACGCCTGCGACTGATTATTGGTGGTTGAAGTGGCAGCCGGAGAACTGAAGCCAAAGAGGCTACTTCCAGTAGTGGTTGTGGCAAAGGATGTACTAGCAAAAGGTGAGCTGCTCATGTTGGATTTCGGTTCCTTCTCATTTGTATTCCCAGTTTCTGTCACTGAAGTTGGGGCTGCTGAAGCCGAATTTGGAGCAATGGCAGACCCAAAACTGAAAACTGGTGCCGGCAAAGAAGTAGAAAAAGCTGGTGCTGGCAAAGATGTAGAGAAAGCTGGTGCTGGCACAGACGTAGAGAAAACAGTGCTGGAGGCAGCGGTGGTGGTGATGGTGGTGGCGGTGGTGGATATGACGGTGGCAGTACTGGCAGAAGTAACATTGGAAGAGCTATTATTGAAAAGCGAATTCAAATTGGCACCAGAAGCTGGAAGCGGGGTGAATGAAGAAAACATAGGAGAGGTTGAAGCGGGTGTTGCATCAGGAGTACTAGAGTTCTTGCTGGAGCTGCCGAACGAGAAAAAGCCACTTGTTGATGTAGCTGCAAAAGCAGGAGAGGACAAAGACTCGGATTTTCCAAACATATTTGCTGCCTTCTGATTATCGCCATTTTCATCCTTGTTGAATGCCAGAAATTTTACATGATCATTCTTTGAGACTGAATTAAACACGCTGCACAAACACACAAGAGATTCCTTCATAAGAATAGGCTAGAATTAGTCCGGATCTAGCCTTAGTGTAGTAAAGACCATCAACAGGATGAACTATATTTGAAGAAACTTTTTTACTATAGAAGATGAATTACCATCCACCTTCCTGGCCCAATAAAATAAGCATATACAAAAATCTTCTAACCTGGTTGAGTCAAGTGCTTTTGGATCTGAACTAGCAATTGATTTGATTTCTGAAGGCTCGTTGCCAGAGAACTGGAATGGTGACACCTTTTCAGCTGTTGCGCCAAATAATGAGAAATTATTTGAATCCTTCTCAGAATCAACCTTCTCCATTTGCAAGGTTGATTGAGGAAGTACAATGGTTTGTGTGGCAGTAGTTGATGGAGGTGAGGTAGGGAACTTAAATCCTATTCCTTGCTCACCAACAGAACCACCAAGAAATCCAACATCAGTTTTTGGAGAAGATGCGACATTTTCAACTTCTTTCAACTCGGCCTGTTCTGGAAATTTAGCAACCTCAGGTAACACGGGAGTTACTTCAGCCAGTGCAGAAGTTTTGGCGATTTCCTGCAGCGTTGGAGTTTGAATGACTTCAGCAAAAACAGGTTTGTTTGCTACCAAAGATGCCTCCGGTTTGTTATCTTCAGCCGATGGGAAGGACACATTCCCATTAACATGGACGTCATCATCAAGGTCCAATGAATCCTATATGAGACAAACAGCGTTGAAATATAAGCAAGAATACCAATGAAACAAACCACATGTCAAAACACATGTAAATGGATTTGATCAAACTTAAATATACAAGTCTAATCAAGTATATAGACCATAAAGTTGAAAGGGTTTTGAAGTTTAAAATGTATATCTCCGTCAGAATATACTAATATAAGTTTTTAATATTAATGTAAAATTCTTAACATCAAACATAGAAAGGTGTTAGATATTACTGAAATTGATGGTTCCAAATGGCGTAAAAATGTAATAAAAAGGGTAAAAGGTTAACAAAGGCAGACAAATTGCGAATAATATGGAAGAAGATAATTTAGACAATAAGCGCCAATGGACCAATGCCAATATGTAGTTCGTGTTGAAATCACTAAAACCATCTCTATCTTCTGTATGTTGGCCACAGATAAACCGAGAGCCAAATGAAACTATTTACTTGCAGATCACTAAATTGATCATTCAAGGAAATCCTTCAGTGTGTGAAATTAAGGGCGAGGACAAGAAAAATCCCATGAAAACTAAACAACTTTCTAGTGGTTCTATTATTCCATGGAAAAGTCAACACCATTGCCTATAATTGTATCTCAAACAACAGCCAGATAAATTATTTCTTGTTTTATTATTCCGTTCTTCTTATTGACTGGCAATGTAATAGTACACAAACAAAAGAAATACGACGAACCTCATGTGCACTCATCTGAAAAGCACGCTTCTTCTGAGGAGGTTCGGCTGGAAGCTTTGAGGTTGAAGCAGTGGTTATAACCACTGGTGCTTTATCTTTTAAAAGAACTGTCGAATCACCATTGACTGGTGTCAACATGTTACGAGGAATAGGGAACTTCCTTGAGCTATTTTCTTCAACTTTGTCTTTGCTTTGAGAGGCCGGCTCATGAATATCATGTGATCTAGCATGGTGTTGACTCTCTGATTTCTGACTATCATGAGGGCTAGGAAGAAATTTCGGCGAATCCACTTTCTCCAGGCTTCTGAGAGCCTGACCATGGAGCATATTTAACGTCAGTTTACTGGGTGATTTATCTCTCATTCCAGCAAGAGTTGATTCAAACTTCTTTTCCTTTGGGCTCAGTCTTTCAAGCTGTTGCAATATTTTTGTTGCCATTTGAGTAGATTTTGTAGGAACAGAAGCATAGCCTGAAACACGCATGCTGGTGTCCCCATTTTCTTCAAAGTCCTTGGAGACTTTTGGTTCAGGTTTGTTCATTAAAAGCAGTTTCTGACTTGAAGTATCTGGTTGTTGCAAAGCAGTATACCCGAGTTCTCTTTTATCTCTTGACAGAGAACTTCCTTGTGTTAAAAGATTAGCTTTCTGCCGAGTTCTACGCAGTGGACCACCAGATCTAATATCATCATCTAGTACAGAACTCCGACGCTTTAGAGCCTGAGGTAGAACGTGGAAACACAGTTATAAAGTCACATTCTCTTAGGAAACAAAATAAGGCATACACCCAATAATTACCATTTTCCCTTCATGCCCCCATGCAGACTGAGAAGATGTTAATGCTGCACCATGACCATATTCAGAATTGATTTCCTGAAATCATGTATGTAGATACAGATTCTACTTCAGCAATATTGAGGAGTAAGTTTAATAGAGGTATGCAGATCAAGCAAACCTTTTGGCTAAAAGTTGAAGGCCCCCTGGAATATGGTGTGCGAGCCATGCTGTACATGGCCGATCTGCCTCGAGATCTTGGCGTCAAGAAGCCATTTTCAAGACCCCTGAAACTGTTTGCAGTCTTTGGAGCCACAGATGTAATTGGAGTCTTTGCAAGGCCAGATGCATTATTAAGCAACTTCACATCTTGTCTCGGTGCCTGGCTGCTTAACCCCAGTGCCGATGGTGCTACCTTCATAGGCCTGGATCCCATGTAAGCCTTTGCAAGCTCAGCAGGTGAAGCAATCTCCTCTTCAAGAACCTGAAAGACAATATAATAATATATTGCAAGCAAAAAACCTGAATTGTTGAGTGACAAATAAAATATGCAAGACTACCAAATTGACATATGCTAGAAATTGTTTGAGTAGAAATAAAGAATGAAACCACACACAAACAAATACAAGCATGAACCTATTACTCACTCTTGAACTGACGATAGGAGTTGAAATATCAGCATGGAAGTTATCCCTCTCATTTCCATGTTTTTTTAGGGAGCCACTTGTTGATGCTTCGAGCCTTAAAAGAGGAGATGGGGAACTAGGAAGCTTTGCTCCATCCTTTTCAACAACATCATCAGGAGACTCGATCGTTTTCGAGTGCAACAATGCCGTCAACCGCTGAATTTCCGACCTGTACAGTATGTAACACCAGTAACGTTAGTAATGTAGTATAATCCACACAAACACGAAGACAGTTGAGACAGCAAATGGTAAAAGATACAGTCACAATTGAGTTTGTTTGTTATATTCCTTTTTTTCTGGCTGGGGTAGGGGAGCTGAACTCAGAATTTCCTCTGTACAGACACTTAACATTGAGGCCCCAGAAACAAAACTGTGGCTTGATCAGGATAATTAATCATGTCTATGATTAACATTCGCAAAGAATGACGCACCTGAATCACCGTCTAAATGCCAAGTACAATTAACAGATACTTTTAAACACCAAATTTATGCAATACAGCAATTTATTTTATGTTCATATCATGAGAACATGATAAGACACAGTAGACATGTCACTTATAAAATATACCAGCATGATGGGAGATATAATGCTAAAAGCAGCGCCATTTGGATCTGTACACCTGAAGAAGGTATTTGTTGGTTCTCGCCTTCTTGAATCATTTTATCATTTATGACTGAATTTCTGCTCTCATGAAAATATAAATTTTGGGAAGGAATTTCAATAAAGTAACAACATTTCCAAGTTTACCAATTAAATGATCTGCTCACTGTTTGGTATAATGAGAAATACTTCACAAGCCCCTGGGTTCTGAAGAAACTATTCTTTAACCCGATAAAAAAAAAATAGTGCTAAGACGGAAAGGCTCTTAACTCTGTCCTGTTCTAAATGTTGATTCTATAGATTCTTTCATGCAGCTTCAGTACTGTGGAACCGTATGCATGCGCATATCATATATACTTTTAAATACCAAAGAGAAGAACAAAGAAGATATGTTATAATTTACAAATTTCAAGAGATACAAAATGAAGTTGGAACAATTGTTATTGGTATTCTACGAAACGTGAACCAACCTCAAAATTAGCTGTCAGAATTTCTTTAGTAACTACCATGGCACACATAGTGTGATGGAAGCCTTTGACAACCAGCCAAATGCCTTATGAAATTTAAAGAGATGATAGGTGGCTCTTGTGGACTCCATAAAATTATAAATAGCTCTTTGCCTCTTCATAATGATAATAATATTGGAGTAACAAGTAATATTAGTTTTATGAGTTGTAATTAGAAGAAATGTTGCAAATTCCATTGAGAAACCAAAATGGAAATTATACAAATGTCATGCAACAGGGCAAATGTTGTTCTAATGCAACAAGGCAACCTCTCTACTCCTTGGGGTAAACGTAAGATCTGTAATCATCCCCAGACCCTACTCCTTGTGGAATTAGCTAACTTGGTTTGTTTTGGTTTATACAAACCATGGTATATGGCACCATTGGCCAACCGATACCATGCAAAGGGCCAACACGGCCTGAGCAAACCTTTGGTCTTTAGGTAGCAAGCATGGCCCCAAAAAATCGATAGATAGCACCAAGTAGAATTTGCACCCCATCCCTAATGCTTCATGAGGTGACAAGACACCCACTGAATACCGCTAAACCAAACCTTTGGGTTCAGGATTGTTGCTAGTTGATGATTCATAATGCATTTGCAAATAGAGAAACAAAACTGTCATGTAATCACATTGATCAACATTCTGCCTGTTAAAAGTGGCTTTAATTGAATTAGTTTAATTTTATTTTTCTTTTTAGCTATCTTAACTGTTTCCTATAAATAGTTGGATATCCTCATTTTGTAAAGACTAGTCTCAATTCGTAATAAAATTCCTGCAATTCTCTCAACATAGCCTTCTCTAAATTCTCAACAAATTGGTATCAGAGCCTAGGGTTCCTTCTATCGCTAATCGCTAAACTTCTTAGACATTTTTTCTTTGGAGTCGCTTCATCACTTTCGCTAATCATCTTACAATGGGTAATCGTTTGGGTCTGTTTGGTGTTCGATTCAAGGTGAAGCTTCTCGTATATGAAATTGATGGTGTAAATCATCGGATTCAGTAGTCTTTTTGGTGATATTGGCTTTTCTGGAACTGAAATCAGCGATTGATTGGAGTCCGACATCTTGAAATTGACAATCAATTTGGTTTCTGGAATTGAAATTGACGATCGATTGGGAAGTGTATCAGAAATTGGTGATCGATTGGAAGCTAGAAATTGAAATTGGCGATCGTTTGCAGTCTCACATTAGAAATTGGTGATCAATTGGTGACAAGCGACTGGTGTTTTCGATTCGGTTCAATCAAGATTTTGAAAATGCCTCCACAAATGATCAAGAATGACAAGTTTACAGGAAAGAACTTCAGCCTATGGCGAATCAAGATGAGAGCTCTCCTAAAACAACAAGGCATTTGGATTCCCTTGGCTGGTGAAAGGCCTGAAGGGATGGCTGAATTTGAATTTGCACAACAAGATGAAAAGGCTCACTCTACCATCTTGTTATCTTTGACAAATGAGGTGATTTATGAAGTTGCCGATGAGAAGATTGTTGCGTCTTTATGGCAGAAACTAGAGACCTCTACATGACCAAATCTTTAACAAACAAGGTGTTGTTAAAGAAAAGGTTATCCTCATTACGAATGAAGGAGGGAATGCCATTAAAGGAACATCTTGACGAGTTAAACTCCATTCTTATGGATTTGAAGAATGTTGAAGATAAGGATGTCACCCTCATCTTATTGGTTTCGTTGCCCACTTCATATGAAAATTTTGTCAACTCGTTCGTTGTTGGTAGACACAATTACAATGGAAGAAGTTCGTTCAAGTCTGCACTTACGAGAGTTGCGACATAAAGCTTCAGGAAGTAGTTCCGAAATTCAATCGGTTGGCTTGTCGATGGTAAATGGAGATAGAGGTAGAGAAAAGGGTCCAGAGAAAGGAAAAGGGAAGTGGAAAATTAGAAGTCGATCAAGATCGAAAACTAGAGGTCCAAGTGGAAACCCAAGGGATAGCTGCCACTATTGTAAAGAACCGGGTCATTGGAAAAATGAGTGTCCAAAACTAAGTCAAAAGGTTCCGCTGCTGTAGCAAAAGATGATTCAAGTTCGGAGGTTGATTTGGTGCTCTCGGTGGTTGATTGCAAAAGTTAGTCAAATGTATGGATTCTTGATTTCGCGTGTTCATTTCACATGACACCACATAAGATTGGTTTAAAACTTATGATAAGATTGCAACCAGAAACGTCTTGATGGGAAATGACATGTCGTGCAATGTTGTTGGAATTGGGTCGGTGAGCATTAAATTGCATGATGGGATTGTGAGAACTCTAACAAATGTTCGTCATGTACCCGGGTTGAAGAAAAATTTAATATCTTTGGGAGTGTTCGACTCAAAAGGCTTCAAGTACACCGGTGAGGATGGAGTAAATCGAGTCACTAAGGGTGCTTTAGTAGTGATGAAAGAAGTCAAGAGAGGTACCTTGTATGTTCTGAAAGGTAGTACGGTTGTTGGATCAGCAGCACCAGCCATTAATTCTTCAGAGAATGAGTCAGATTTGACACGTTTGTGGCACATGAGGCTAGGGCATGTTAGTGAAAAAGGCATGGTAATTCTCAGCAAGAAAGGACTTTTGGAGGTTATAGAGTTGCTCAATTGGGCTTTTGTGAACATTGCATCTTTGGAAAACAAAGGAGAGTGAGTTTCTCAAAAGTTGTCCATACATCCATTCGGGTGTTGTTGGCACTAGTAGCACAAGCAAATTTGGAGTTTGAACAATTGAACATCAAAACGACTTTCCTACATGGTGAGCTTGAAGAGGAAATCTATATGAGTCAACCGGAGGGTTTTGTAGCTCAAGGTAAAGAAAACTATGTTTGTAAGCTCAAGAAATCGCTTTATGGTTTAAAGCAATCTCCAAGACAGTGGTATGAATGTTTTGACAGATTTATGGTGAGTCATGGATTTACTAGAAGCGGCTTATGTGGACGATATGTTGTTAGTAGCAGCTCGTGATATGGCTGAAATTAAAAAGTTAAAAAGACTCCTTAATTATGAGTTTGACATGAAAGATTTGAGGGTTGCTTGAAAGATTCTCGGTATGGAGATTATCCAAGATAGATCTAGACGTAAACTTTTCTTGTCATAAAAAGTTACATTTTGAAGATACTTTCTTGATTTGGTATGGCTTCTGCAAAGCCTGTGAGCACACCTTCATCAGCAAATTTCAGATTATCGATAGCTTTAGCACCTCAAACCGAGGGTGAGGTGGAGTATATGAGCAAAGTTCCTTATTCTAATGTTGTAGGAAATCTTATGTATGTCATGGTCTGCACTAGACCTGACATAGCTCATGATGTTAGTGTTGTTTCACATTACATGGCTAATCCGGGGAAAGAACATTAGGTTGTCGTGAAACGTATTTTTCGTTACCCCAAAGGCACAGCTGATGTAGGTCTCATTTATGGAGGAGAAATAGATTGTATTGTGGTTGGATTTTCTGATTCTGATTACGCAGCTGACCTTGACCTTGATACATGGAGGTCATTAACGGGAAATGTATTCACTGTTGGAGATGCCCTAGTGAGCTGAAAAGCGACGTTACAGCCGTCTGTTGCTTTGTCTACAACAAAGGCTGAATATATGGCTCTTACAGAGGCTGCAAAAGGAAGGATTTGGCTGAAAGGTTTGCTTGAGATCTTGGGTTTCATCAAGATCATACTGTAGTTTTTTGTGGCAGCCTGAGTTCCCTTTGTCTTGCAAAAGACCAGGTGCGTCGTGAGAGAACGAAACACATAGATGTTCGTTATCACTATATATGTTCGGAAAGAATAATTAAAGTGAAGAAAGTGAGGGATGACAATCCAGCTGATGCACTGACGAAACCAGTTTCTTTGAATAAGTTTAGGCATTGTTTGGATCTCCTAAACATTGATAGTTGGAAGTAAAAAAAAATGTACTAGAATTAAAGCCATGGTCGAGATTTGTTAAATGTGGCTTTAATTGAATTAGTTTAGTTTTATTTTTTTTTGTTTAGCATATCTTAACTGTTTCCTATAAATAGTTGGATATCCTCATTTTGTAAAGTCTAGTCTCAATTCGTATTAAAATTCCTGCTATTCTCTCTACATAGCCTTCTCTAAATTTTCAACATTGCCCATGTATTCTATCAAGGCCAGGTAATAAGCACAATTTGGGGGATTAAAGATGTATCTCATCATAAGGAAACATACGCTCAAGGAGCATCAAGTGAAATGTTAGCAAAATCTGAACACCTATTATTTTCCTCTCTACTTCAAAAGATATGGTAATGAGGAAACACTATTTTACCTCAAAAGCAATTTTTTGGTTAGTGTGGAGATGTATGGACCCCCTCCATATGTGACGTGAAAACAAAATTGCAGCTTATTAGTAAATGAGCATAGCCCTCCAATTCATACATGTTGTATAAAGTAAAGATGGAAGTAAAGCAATGATAAGTCATCACCTATAGCGTAAATAATAACAATAGAAGACTACTAAAAGAGAGACCAACCTGGTGAAGGTTTTTTGTTTCAACATTTGTTCAAGCTCTGATATCCCAGCAGCAGCAGAGATGCTAGCAGAGTTAACACCTTGATCAGTGCTAGGTTCTGATACTCCGGTACAATTCTTCAGGTCAATAAGCAGAAGTACATCAAGGTTAGAATGGTTTCAGACAAAATGGTTGGACAAAACAAACCACCAGCAACATAAGAGATCACATCATTCAAACTCATAAAGAAAGTACTACAACCAGCAATAATGAAAACTAAATCCCTCCACCTACTTCTGATACTTAGCTGTAACTAATTACCCTCAACAAGACTCTTAAGTGGGATTTAAAACTATTAATAAATAGTAACAGAATAGGTGTTTTTAGATTTTGAAAAACTTATTGCCAAGAGGTAGACGCAAGGAGATTAAATATGTGAACTCAGAAAAACCAAGATAGCAGAGTAGAAGTTTAGGAAATTCCGTCTAGTGTGTTAAAGCACAGACTACATATCCATGCCCACATACCTGAAACAACATTGCAAAGCTTAGAGTTTCATAAATTCCACCATTATTGTTACTATTTATCACTTAATGAAGCAATACAAAAGATAGAACGGAAGTGAAGGGCATCTAGGGAAAATGTATAGCAATCAGGATCAAACCAGAGACAAAAACGTGAACAAATACCAAATAAAACCCAAAAAGTAAAACCCTCAGATTAAAATAAGCAAAATTCAAAAATAAAACTTGATAACAAGTAAAAGCCAGAGATTTTAGAACTTACAATCGAAAAAAGTTTTAAGATTCAATTAGCAAAATTACTCGCACAACATTCTATACATAAAACCACAATTGACATATTCAGAGCAGACAGGAAGCAGACACCCAAAAGACAGAGTGTGTACTAAAATTGAAATAAACAGCTTACATTTCGCACTGCCTCCTGAGCAACCTTCTGGGCTTCTTCATTAATCTCTGGTCACATAAAAGCTTTTGTAAGGGGCATGTAAAGCTTTAAGCAGAAATTCAATTGACGTGATACAAAAGCTATTTAATATGAATATCTTAGATTCATTCCACGCGGACAGAAAAATTTACAACAGAAGCAATTCAAGAGTGGCTTATTACAATTAGTCAATTACGAGAACATCTTGATATGGTTTTAAGTGATCTTCCTTGCTTGATAGATATACATTTAGATTTATACCCAATGACTTTCAGATCAATTATTTCTTCTGAGAATTACTTATAATTTTTAGCTTTCAGCTACAGCCTAGTAAAAGCTTCACAAGTTATCCTCCGTTTCTGTACTCTAATCTCAAATTATCTCATCAGTAAGCAATTTATTCATGTCATAAATACTTGCCACCCTACTTAAAGCTCTTGTGCTATCAAAACTAACATTTTTCAGACGAATGATTAGAATGGAAAAACTCATATGTAGGACGACTAGAAGTTCAAAATCCAAACTAGCACATGACAGCAATTCTTGTTTCTACATGTTGAAATCAGGTGAGCAAAAATTGAAATTTTCAAAACGGATCATTCCATCCATATGACAAACGTTTCATTCCAAGCAACGTGTGTCGTCAGAATCTTAACAATGGAAAATGTTATAAAGAGAACAGAGATTAAATAAAATTATATCACCCACGAAAAACAATTTTTAAGCACCTATGTACATGTGAGCATGAGAAGTTCACCCTCCCACATATACAATTAAAAATTCTTAACTTTGTGTCGCCATCGTCATTTAATATCGAACATGCATGACACCAGGAGCTTACTCTCCCGCCTAGATGTCGCAAACATAGCTTCAAGCATCCTGACTTTTACAGTTGAACTTGTAAACATGCATGAGACCAGAAGTTCCATGGCTTCTGCCTACTGTAGCGTTCCATCGCAAAAATCTCTTAGATTATGGTTCACAAATTTTGACAGAGTAAAACCTCAAGGAATAAAACGTGTCCATTCATAGAAAACCACGAATGTTAAGATATCACTCACAGATGTCAGTTATACATTTACATATGAACTCTAAGTACATGTACAATAATTAGATAGTGAACCCTGATGTGTAGTTTAATGGGATTGTGTATACACAGACACATTGACATGCTTGTGACCAGGTTGATTTAAGGCATCAATTGTCCTTTAAATTCCTCTGACTATTAATTTCTAGTGGACCAACCTACATAAGCTTAAAAATGTGATTCTATAAAAAGATGTTACAAACAAGAAAGAGCATTCACATCAGAATAAGTATAAAAGTTATCAACAATATCCTTTAAAATTGAAAAACTTTGTTTAATCAAAAATGAATTCAGGAAAAAGGATGTTTTCTTGGCCATTGAAGAGCTAGTGTTAGACCTGGATAACCTAACTGTATGTCCAATTTCTGTACATAAATAGACCTATAGATCACATTTCCGCAGTTACGAGGAACATTTACCCACTTTAGCTACAGAATTAGTAAATGTCATCATAACATCTTCCCATTACCCAAAATATTCTCATCCAGATGACTAAATTTTCTCACCTTACAGATTATATGAGTAAAACTATCAGTAAACCCTAAAATTGACAGATTCTTATAGAAAAGTGACTTTCTGCAGCCATATAGACCTAAGCAATTCAAAAATGCAATAATCAGATAATCAGCCAAAACAAAAATAAATCCTTAGGACATGACATGATGTAGTAAAAAAAAAACACCTTTCTACAGCCGAAGAAAAAAGCCTAACCAATTAAGGAAGAATACAGCAATCAGCCAATGAACCAAAGAAAAACCTAATAGAAATCTACCCCAATTATGGAACCCTACGATTGCCATCAAAAAGGTGTCTTAATACAACCAAAAAGACCCTAAATTAGCTGACAGGGGCGTTAAATTTTAACAATTGATCTAATTGAGAGCAAAAGCATTAAACCTGGCGGCCCTTGCAATAATAGAGGAGGAAGACGCTTGCGAAAAGCGCCGAAGAGCCTATGAGCCCCGGCGTAAATGAGTCTAGAAGCGGGGTCCACAAGCTTCGTCAAAAGGCCAGGATTGCTATTTCTGAGCGGGGTAGGAGGCCGATCATACGGCGTCGCCTGAACACTGCGCCGGAAAGGCCTCTTACGGAACTTCCCTCCGGTTCCGCTGCTTTCGTATGGAGCCCTTCCATCGCCCGCCGTCGCCATAAGGGAAGGTGGTAGCCGTCGATGAGATGAATTGCGTTGAAAGAGAAAGTGAATGGTGGAGAGAGAACGGAGAAAGGGAGCTGAGTGGGAAATTAGGGTTTTTATTTTTGCACAAATAAGGCTTATGGTGTTATTAGTAATATAATATATTGTTATATTATAATGCAATAGAACAACAATATAATACATTGAAAGAATGTCTAATAGTACGAGTCTATGAGATATAAGTAAATAATTACGTGATATCCGGTTGTAATATAACTCTGATTTATCAATCTCTGTCATTATATCCTTTAAACAATGACATATTTATTCTGCAACATTCATCCTTGTGCCAAGTCAAATGAGTGTTGGTGCACAATTGTTGTCTCGTTAAAGTTTATGCCAAAATAAAAACTCGATGGGAAAAAATAAAAATAAGACAAAAAAAATAGTACAATGCGCTAGCTTCTTTGCAATACATAGATTTTTTCTTTACTATATGATGCATCATTTGCATAAATGAAGGCAGTGTTTTGGATGAACTCAAAACAATAACTCATCTAACATGTGTAATGATAGTCCTTAACCATGTACACTATTGAGCAGTCTCATGTAGAGTAATATTATTGGAATAGTCCGAAGAGGTGGCTACAAGGGTATGCTTAGTTTATTTCCAAGCAATCGGGATATGTTCCTTATGGTGATTCCTTATCCAGCATGGTAACAACCTTTGTATGAGTCATATATATTACTCATATCAGCAAATACATAACAAGACATCGTGTGGCATTTTTCTGTAAGGGCTAGTACTTTTGTCGTTCACCGTCTAGGTAGGTATTGAAGTTCCATTATCAATCTAATTTATCTCTTTGTAGGGAAAGTATAATCCCACATCAATTGTTCCAAAAGATTAATTTGATATCATTCCAATAACATTGCATTGGCATTGAGCTAATTCTAGCTAATAAGTTCATTGAGAGATACAACATATGGTCAAGTGTATTGTGCTAACTACAATAATGCATCTATTATACTTAGATATAGAATTTCATCTTCAAACACCTTTTTGTCATCATCCTTAAGACGAACCAGATCTTCCTCGTAGCCAACATTTGACTAATCATGGGAGTGTTAGTCGGAAGCGCTTTGTCCATATTAACCGCATGATCATTTTCTTCACATATGCGGATTGGTGGATTAATATTCCACAAGTTTGGTGTCTAAGATCCAATAGCTAGATAGAACCAAGTTTTCCCAAGATATTTCATCTCAAATTCAGATTTCAAGTAGATTATGGTTTATCTTATTTCATTAATAGTGTTTATTATGTTTATAACATTGACATATAGAGTTGGAACTCTATTTTTATAAATACACGTAGGTTCCCATAGAAAAATGTAGTAACCACATCCATGAACTACATCTGCAGTCCTTCATGAAACTACTAGGCTAATTAAGTAGCAGAACCCTATTATGTTTGTCACGGGAAAGTAAGTCTTATCATGGTCAGTCCATGGCGTTGTAAGAAACTTTGCGTCAAATTAGAGCCTTATATTTTATGACTTAATTATCCTTATTATGCTTTTATGACAAATGATATATTTATGTCCTACATGCTTTACATTTGGTGGGTTAGCACTATCAGATCAAATACTTTATCATTTTTCAAATAATATAATTCTCCTGGGTTATTTCTTTTCACTTAGGCCAATTTGCTATTTGTTGACATTTTCAATTGGGCGTGGTTCGATGTCATCGTGCTCTATCATCTCATGAGCAACAATATATGTGAATATATCATCAACGAGTATGTATGATTTGTCAATTGACTCACATGCACTCTCATAATTCATCTTTCTTTGATCTTTGGAATCAATATTAACTTGGGAGCATCCTCCAATAATAATTCATAGACATATTTTAATTAGGACAATCTCGTGAGAGGTTTATGTATTGATGATAAATGGTTGTGTCTTACTCTTCTTTTCTTTAAATGTGTATCTATTGGACCAAGTATCTTCCCCGTTTCCTTTCGGGGCCACAACCTTAACCAAACCTACACCATGTGTGATTGCAACGCACTTTCCAACAACGTGTGCTTTTGTTTGGGGACTTTTAACCTTGCGAGTATATTTGCATATGGTATATGTGACCTCTGGGATAACATTAATGTATCAGGTATCAAGTCTAATTCATTTGCCTTCAACTTCAACTTTACATTGTGAAGTTCAGGGATCAAAATCAGACAGAGTGAGAATATTCTATGACATTTCCTGTCGTTTCCATGGAAAATCATTTCCCCTAACTCCCTCTAACGACGACAACATTAAAGTGATAACTCGAAAATATAGCGGTAAAGAGATTATCCGTCAAGGGTTCTAATTAGCAGACAATTGTTCGTGATTCATATCCAACTTATATATAATCGTCTTTAATGACCCATTTTGGCGTACCATGGGGGCGCGATATTTTTCATTAATCATAATCATCTTTGGTGTACCATGGGGGCACGATATTTCTCATTAATCATAATCGTCTTTGGTGTACCATGGGGGCGCGATATTTCTCATTAACCATAGCGGAAGACAATAATAATAAATCCGAGCATACATGCTAATAACGTGTTATAGTATAAATGAAACACAACAACAATATAATAAAGATAAATAGTTGTAATTCTCATTAATCATAATCCCATTATATATGGATGGGTTACAAGTAATAATTACGTGATACTTCAGTTGTAATCTAACTCTCTATCAACATATTATTTAGATTATTGCCCATTAATCCTACCACAAATATTTTGTTTTCGTTGAAATAACGGATAAAAAACATAAATTCATAAAATATTCATATACTTTATAAAAAAGCTTAATTCAAATGTATATAATAGCTAGAGAATCTCAAACAATAAGAGTAATAAATAAACGATTACGAATGTCAAATTACATGTGATTTTACATTAACGGTCAACGATAAGTGTAAGGGTGTGCGAACGACGTGGCCCGTGACTTGAATTACGTGAATCATATGTGATTTCATATATGATTTTAGTGTAAAATCACATGTGATTCAACCATTTTCTTATTCTTTTATTTTGTTATTGTTCTTACATGACGTGACTCAAACAATGTAATCTTTCAAAAACAAATACATTTTATATAATTAAATATATATTGTTTTATCAAGTCAAACACCTCTCTTATCGTAAGAGGTAATCTTTAAATCACTAAGAGCAAAAAAAATAATACTTAGAGGGTGTTTGTGATTGCTTATTTAAAACAACTTATGCCTTTTTGTAAAAGTGCTTAATAACTTATGTGGTATCAAACCGGAGTTAAATAAAATAGAGTTAAAATTGTAAACTGATAATAAACAGTTTTTCGTAAGTCAGGAATAATTAACTTATCAAAAACAACTTATTGCCGGTGCCAAAACAGTTTCTTTTATTATCCAAACACCATAAAACAGTTTATCATCGGTGCCAGACTGAAATAAGTTAAAAAACAGCTTTTATAAGCAATACCAAACMCCCCCTTAAMAAAAAAAAAAACTACCTCTTAATGATTATAAAGACCTCTGAGCAATTTTGTATCTTGGGCATCCCTCAACCATTCAACGCCTAAATTTTTCCAAGGTTGCCCTTTCACAATTTGGTTTCTCTCAGGCTGCTACTCATCTCTCATGATATGTGTTCCTCTCATCGTTCTTCAGGTACGAACCGAATCTGCCATCGATTTCTAAATATTATGCATCTGTTCGATCTTCTTGAGGTTGCCCTTTCACGCTTCTCTCTTACAATCTGGTTTTTCTAAAGATATGTGTTTCTCTCATCGTTTTTAAGGTAGGTAACACCCAAAGTTTTGGCGAGTTCGTCATGTTAATAAGAAATATTCAAGGGTCTGATTTGTTAAAGTTGAGACCTTGAATCTTATGGTATCAATAGGGGATGCAAAAATACGAAGGGTTAATTCGGAATTTAAGGATAACATGTTGAATTTGAATGTGGGGTGAAATTGAAGGAAGACGCAGAGAGTTGGGAGACAGAGAATTAATGCCGTAAGAGTTCGAGAATTTGAACAACTAAACTAAGGTAAACGTCCACGTTATTTTGCAAATGCTTGCGTATCTACGGTTATTCGATGTTTACGCACGACTAATGAGAACCAAGTAGAAGCATCGATAAGTTTATATGATAACAACTAAGTTTGTGTCTCATTTGTTCTCAACGAGAGCTTTCATCAACATAGACAATTGCATCATCAACCCTTTGAATGTGATTAATCTTTGACCAATATCATATTTTGTCAAATTTGACGTCAAAATCTAGATGCGCTTTTTTTGTAGACCAAAAACAACGAGAAGGAACGATGTGAATGAAGCAGGTAGTCAAAGCAAGAGAAACGTATAGGACCATGAAGTTGTAGCCAAATCAAGTAGGAAAATGACGTGTACAAATTGTTTGGAGGTGGACACAATTATGAAAGTTGTACTAGCTATTTTTTTCTAAATGGTATACCTACCACTGCCGATTATTTTAATATTTTCCACCATTGTCCTTATATTGTTTATATCTAACTAGAAGAGTACTTGCACAATGCAGCGAGATACATCTCGATTTTAATGTTTCATTTTATTCTTTGTTTTTGTGAATGTTATAATACAGTTTTATGTGGTTTTGAGAAATCGATAATGTTTTTATTTTTGAATTAAAATATAAATTTGAAAAAAATATAAAAGTTCTAGTTTTTTTGTGTTATTTCTTTAATTCAATTTTTTTAATTATAATTTAATTCAGGTTTAATAACAAAGTAATTTATTTTTTATTTAATATTTTTTTTTATAAAGATAATAATTAAATATTTGTTAGATATTCATTGTATTCTAGATATTCTATATTTAAAATGATAAATTTATTTTGTATTTGATTATATTTATCTGCAATTAGTTACAGAACTCAAACATGGAGTTTTAATAAATTATACTTATATAAATTTTAATTGTAATCTTGAATTTTAAGTAATATGCATCAATAAACAATATTTCATGCATAAAAAATTGATTTTTAAGAGTTTATGCCAAATGTTTTATAATATAGTACAAATAATATTGCTACTTAATTTTTGTAACAATGTTAGGTTATCAACTTTATTATATTTCCAAGGTATGAATTTTGAATGTTGTGAAATTTATCATTTATTGGTCGGTAAAAATTGATTGAGTTTATTTAATATAAGATTTATGATGAACATAGATTTCTTTGATGGTACAAATTAAATTTGGTTGAATTTATGATGTTATTAAACTTTAATTTTATTGAAAATATATGAGAAGTGGTAAATGAAACAATAATTTTTAATTATGTTTTATTTTAAGTTTTAGAATAATACATTGTTTAAACATGAAATTAACATTTATAAATATATTATATTAAAAAAATTGTGAATCGGGAAAAATCCAGTTCTGCAATAAGAATGGGAAATTAATCTTGTTCCCGGACAGGGATGGAGGCGGAGATTACGATCCTCCCCGACCCTGTTATCATCTCTAATTAAACCATATAATGATTTACAAATATATGTTTTAGATTATCTATGCTATATTATAAATTATTTGAGAAAAACACTTAAAAAACATCTTTTATATTTGCGTTACTGTTTATTGATGCATATTACTTAAAATTCAAGATTACAAGTAAATTGTGCATAAGTACAAATTATTAAGGTTCATGTTTGAATTCGTGTAACTAATTGTAGATAAATATAATCAGATACAAGATACAATTCTTATTTTAAATATTAATCTAAAATATAATTGAGATAATCATTGAGTTCTAACAGAAAAACTTAGTTATTATTTTTATAAAAATTATATTATTAAATCAAAAATAAAATATTTCGTTATTAAATCAAAACTAAAAAGATTAAATAAAAAAAGTACAAAAAAAATGAGAACTTTTTTATTTTTTATTATATCTTCAAATTTGTATTTTATTAAAAAAAACATTATTACTTGCTCAAAACCACATAAATCTGTATTATAACATTAACAAAAACCAAAAAAATAAAATAAAACATTGAAGTCGAAATATATCTCGTGATATTGTGCGAGTACTTTTACAGTATACTATTAAAATAAATAAAATTTTAAAATTATAAAACCTTAAATATAATTTAAGAAAAATATTTATTTAAACAAAAATAAGACATTTTAAAAGGAAAAAGAAAAAAAAAAGGAAAATTGCACTAAAATGAAACCAACTTTCATCTTATTCTTATTTTGCAGAACCAACTTGCAAAATAATTATAGGAAAATAATAAAATTCGTTTTTTTTCAAAAATTAATACCATAAATCTAATTTTCATTTCAAATCTCGTTTTTTTTAAWTAAGATATCAAATTGAAGATTTTTTCAAAAAAAATCCAAATTACCACAATAAAAATTGTTTTTTACTAATGCAATAAAAAATCAATTTAATAGAAAAAATTAATTGATGCAATAAAAAATGAATATTAAATATCACATTCAAGATTTTTATATAACCAATCTGTATCAATATTAAAGTTTAAATCAAATTTGGTAAATCAAACCAAAAGTTTGATAGAAAAATTTAAATTACTTGTTACCTGTTCAATAGATCAACCAGATTTTTAAATAAAACAAAAAATTTGATAGAGACCCTTAAATAACGATTTTAAAAGTTGGTTTCCCAAATTAGGAATCAAAAGTTGGTTCCGTTTTGGTGGAAATTTTTTTAAAAAAATAAAAAATAAAAAAAGCCAAAGATCTCGTTAACGCATCCCCGTTTGCAAGATCAATTTCATCACGTCTGTCCTGCGCTGCGCTGCCTCTGCGCTCTGGTTTCCATCCCCTAAAATTCCGAAACTATCCCTTCCTCCCTCCCTTTTCAAAACCATCCCCATCCCCATCCCCATAGACGAGACCAAGACCAGACCCGAGTCCGACCCTCTTTCCAACAATCTCAGATCACCAATCTCCTCCGATGACTCTGATGACTCCTCCGCCTGTCGATGTAAATATCGACAAACAATTATTCACACACACCCACACACACTTCAACACTCATTCACACACATGCACACGCAACACCCTTATCTCTCTATCTAAATATACTGTTTTTTTAACTATTGTTTGCTTGCTTGCTTTACTACACTCACTGAATCGGTTTCTTTCACTTTCGATCTCTTCAACGATCTTTTTTTTTCTAATGTTAAATTTGATCCTTCGATTTTTATTTTCTAACTATTTTGGGGGGATGCTTGATTTCTAGGGTTTTGAATTCTGATTGATTAGGAGGTGTTACGATGAATTTTTATCGGATCGAATTTGTTTATATCTAGACTTCAATATTGCAGCCTGAAGAGGACGAGATGCTGGTCCTACATTCTGATTTGACCGCCACCGAAGAACCTCAACCAATGGAAGGAGGTACTGCTGCGCTACGTCATCTGATTCATTAATTTGCTCCAGTTTTTTTTTGTATTTTTGAATGTTTATGTCATTTTTACATACATAGTTTCATCCAATGTATTGTAGGCTACTTTTACTTTTTCTTTCATCAATCTGTATGATAAGTGTTCTTTTTGTTAGTTGCACCCACCGAAGCTGCTAATACAGTTGATGCACCAGTGGTTGATGATCCTCCATCCGCAAGGTTCACATGGACTATAGAGAATTTTTCTAGGTTGACTGGCAAAAAGTTATACTCTCAAGTCTTCTTTGTTGGAGGATATAAATGGTATTTTGACCTCTAGCTATTTTTGGTTGTATGCGTGATGGGTAGTAATTTCTTGTTACATGTTTGTGACTTTGTGTAATAAAATCCTGTTCACATGAGTAGGCGAGTGCTCATATTCCCGAAAGGAAACAATGTGGACCATCTGTCAATGTATCTCGACGTTGCTGATTCCTCGACGCTGCCATATGGTTGGAGCAGATATGCTCAGTTCAGCTTAGCTGTGATTAATCAAATTCATAACAAGTTCACCATGAGGAAAGGTAAGCCTTCTGTATTTGCTTTATAATGAGGTACAAAACTGTCAAAAGACCTGGAAACCAAAAGTTGCCTATAATGTGAACAGGAAGTGTGAAAAGAAATCCATACGGGGAATTAAATCATATAATATAGGTTGAGAGGTTCACAATAAATATAGAGCCCTTCAGCTCAATTACTTAGCCCTGTCAGTGTGCCATTAAAGTCTTTATCACTTTTGTCAAATAATGATCTAGCATTAGGATAGAATCCTGAGCATGGACACATGGATGATGGCAGACCGAGTGTTTTATGGGTACACAGATCATAGGAGCTTGTGGACATGTCATGTTTGTTACCACATTTGTGGTGACTTTTATCTCTTTGCATACTATGTTACTGTCCCATTTGAAGTGACTTACATCTTGTTGGAGAAAATAGTCATTTTGATTGACAACACGCATGTAGATTTTACCTTCTAGGTTTTGGGTCCAAAAATCGGTGGAACGTGGAACCGTTTTGGTTGCGAATGAATCCTTTGTTGAGGACCCGAGGCATCAAGTTTAAGCCTTTTTTTATGTTTTATCTATAACGTTCTCTTACTCCGCAATTTATTTTGTTCTTGTAGTTGTTGCATTGTAGGTTAGATAAACTTTATGGTTGTTTTGATTAGAGATACTTGCTGGCTGCTGCTTTTAAAGGTTTCAGTTTACTCCTTTTGGCAACAGGTTATAAAGACATGAATTGTTTTAAAAAGTTAATGTCAATGGTTGAAAGTAATAATATTAGATGTATGATGTCTCTATGTATTGCAAATGATACTAACTAAAAAATGCTGGCAAACATCTGGTATTCAATTTTTGTTTGTGTCAAGTGTTGGTCATATATTATTTCATTTACTTGAAAAATTGTTCTTTCTAGAGAACCAAATTTACCAAAGAAGAGCTACTAGTGAATGTTCTAGGTTTTAGGTCCTTGTAAGTTGTAAATTTGTTCTTTTCTCATACAAAAAACACCTAAATTTTTTTAGTATATAATTCCTTTGTCCCCAACTAAGGGGTCCTTTACCAAACGCTTAGCGGCAAGAGTCACCACCATCGCTTACCTTATCCGGTAACATTCTTGGTCATCAAAAAGATTGTTGGTAAGTGTCTTTTACCCGGTAAGCGCTTACTGGAAAAGAGTGTTATCCCTCACTTACTGGGTAAGATTCTCGGTCCTCGCCATGATCATCCTCATCCTGTAAGGTAAGTAACACCCGGTAAGCGTTTGGTAAACAGTCCCTAAATGTTCTTGGGAGATCTTTTCAATTAGTTGCTATGTTCGATTTGACCGAGAAGGTTATGTACTATCTGGAATTTACCACCATTGTTGTGCATTATATCATTATTGTTTTTCCATAACTGAAATGGAAACTTGGCCATTGACAAAGTGATCATTATTCTTGCATTCCATGTTTGCAAGATCAAATATGTCTACATTTTGGTCTATGCTGTTATAGCGGTGAAAATACAAATTGCGGTCGGGACCGATATTTGAAATAGTGGTTATAGCGGTGTCCAAAAATAGCGGTTCATATAATATTTCTTAGAATTATATATAATTATATGTATAATATCCCTACATAAACATATCATTTGCAAAATAGGAAAAGTGTCCATAAAGGAGCTAATTGCAAGCAATAGGTTAAGCATCTGAGTCAACATCATCTAATACATTCACCACTTCGTTTAGGCTAAAAACAGAGGCTGGAAATAAAGCCCAAAAAAAAAAAAGACTGGAAATAAAGCCCAACTATCTAAAAACAGAGATTGAAAATAAAGCCCAAACCCCCCAAAAAGTAACGTTAATATCGAACGCAGTTGACCCTAAATATCGGTCAAAATTGCAATAAACTGCGCTGATAATTGCGCTACCGCAATTTAAACCGCAATCTGGCCACCGTTATTTTGCTAATGTCCGCTATCCGAGATATCACGGAGCTATTGCGCCACAATTAACAGCATAGATTTTGGTATGGATGTGTTAAAACCTTTGTATGGTTTAGGATAAGACGAGGCCACTTGGGTAGATCCATGGACGTGTTGGAAGTAGTGTGGAATATCAGTCAGTTGCTTTGATAGCTTATATCTTTTAGGATAAGACGAGACCACCGGGGTAGATGTGTCGTAAACAGTCTGTAAAATTCATCAATCTCTTCGAAAATTTGTACGCATACAATTAAGTTATTTGTTCTTTTTTTTGACTTGCTCAAAAATGTTAACACTAAAGTATATATGGTTGAAAGTTCAGATCGAAAGGAATCTTTTACATAATTTCTTGCACAATGAAGTATGTAATAACTTATAGCACTTGGTTGATAGGCTTTTTCATTTCATTTTCATAAGAAGGAAGGTAGTTAATTTAGTGTTTTTAATTCTGTTCAATGTCCTCTTGCTTTCGTCTCCTCTGCATGGATTGGTGATAGTTATGCCGCTTTTTACCCTTCAGATACACAACACCAGTTTAATGCTCGAGAAAGTGATTGGGGTTTCACCTCATTTATGCCTCTAAGTGAGCTGTATGACCCTAGTCGAGGCTATCTTCTGAATGATACATGCATAGTTGAAGCTGATGTTACAGTCCGAAGGGTTGTTGATTACTGGTCACATGACTCAAAAAAGGAGACTGGTTATGTGGGGCTTAAGAATCAAGGCGCTACTTGCTATATGAACTCTCTCCTCCAGACATTATACCATATACCTTATTTCAGGAAGGTTGGTGATTTTACTCCATCGGATTGATGCCCAGTGAAAAAAATATGAAAGAAAACTCACATTTAAATTTTGAATCAGGCTGTGTATCATATGCCAACAACTGAGAATGACATGCCATCAGGGAGCATTCCTCTGGCTTTGCAGAGTTTATTCTATAAGCTTCAGTACAGTGACACTAGTGTAGCTACAAAAGAGTTGACAAAGTCTTTTGGCTGGGATACGTATGATTCTTTTATGCAGCATGATGTTCAAGAACTCAATAGAGTCCTCTGTGAGAAGCTTGAAGACAAAATGAAGGTAAAGGGGTTTCCAACACCAAACATGGATTTTGTTACTGCTTGATCATACCTGATTATGTACCATTGTGGTTACACTGGCACAGGGAACTGTTGTAGAGGGTACAATTCAACAATTATTTGAAGGACATGATATGAACTATATCGAGTGCATAAATGTGGACTATAAATCAACAAGAAA